GTTGCCTCCGGTGCCTCTGTTTTGTTCCATTGGTCTATATCTCTGTTTTGGTACCAGTACCATGCTGTTTTGATTACTGTAGCCTTGTAGTATAGTTTGAAATCCGGTAGTGTGATGCCCCCCGCTGTGTTCTTTTTGCTTAGAATTGACTTGGCTATGCGGGCTCTCTTTTGGTTCCATATGAAGTTCATGGTGGTTTTTTCCAGTTCTGTGAAGAAAGTCAATGGTAGCTTGATGGGGATAGCGTTGATTCTGTAAATTACTTTGGGCAGTATAGCCATTTTCACGATATTAATTCTTCCTAACCATAAACATGGAATGTTTCTCCATCTGTTTGTGTCCTCTCTGATTTCGTTGAGCAGTGGTTTGTAGTTCTCCTTGAAGAGGTCCCTTACGTTCCTTGTGAGTTGTATTCCAAGGTATTTTATTCTTTCTGTAGCAATTGTGAATGGCAGTTCGTTCTTGATTTGGCTTTCTTTAAGTCTGTTATTGGTGTAGACGAATGCTTGTGATTTTTGCACATTGATTTTATATCCTGAGACTTTGCTGAAGTTGCTTATCAGTTTCAGGATTTTTTGGGCTGAGGTGATGGGGTCTTCTAGGTATACTATCATGTCGTCTGCAAATAGAGACAATTTGGCTTCCACCTTTCCTATTTGAATACCCTTTATTTCTTTTTCTTGCCTGATTGCTCTGGCTAGAACTTCCAGAACTATATTGAATAGGAGTGGTGAAAGAGGGCATCCTTGTCTAGTGCCAGATTTCAAAGGGAATGCTTCCAGTTTTTGCCCATTCAGTATGATGTTGGCTGTTGGTTTGTCATAAATAGCTTTTATTACTTTGAGATACGTTCCATCGATACCGAGTTTATTGAGGGTTTTTAGCATAAAGGGCTGTTGAATTTTGTCAAATGCCTTCTCTGCGTCAATTGAGATAATCATGTGGTTTTTGTTTTTGGTTCTGTTTATGTGGTGAATTACATTTATAGACTTGCGTATGTTGAACCAGCCTTGCATCCCCGGGATGAATCCTACTTGATCATGGTGAATAAGTTTTTTGATTTGCTGTTGCATTCGGCTTGCCAATATTTTATTGAAGATTTTTGCATCTATGTTCATCATGGATATTGGCCTGAAGTTTTCTTTTCTTGTTGGGTCTCTGCCAGGTTTTGGTATCATGATGATGTTGGTCTCGTAAAATGATTTGGGAAGTATTCCCTCTTTGGATTGTTTGAAATAGTTTTAGAAGGAATGGTACCAGCTCCTCTTTGTGTGTCTGGTAGAATTCGGCTGTGAACCCGTCTGGACCTGAGCTTTATTTTGTGTTGTAGGCTCTTAATTGCTGCCTCGACTTCTGACCTTGTTATTGGTCTATTCATAGTTTCAGCTTCCTCCTGGTTTAGGCTTGGGAGGACACAGGAGTCCAGGAATTTATCCATTTCTTCCAGGTTTACTAGTTTATGTGCATAGAGTTGTTTGTAATATTCTCTGATGATGGTTTGAATTTCTGTGGAATCTGTGGTGATTTCCCCTTTATCATTTTTTATTGCATCTGTTTGGTTGTTCTCTCTTTTCTTTTTAATCAATCTGGCTAGTGGCCTGTCTATTTTGTTGATCTTTTCAAAAAACCAGCTCTTGGATTTATTGATTTTTTGAAGGGTTTTTCGTGTCTCAATCTCCTTCAGTTCAGCTCTGATCTTAGTTATTTCTTGTCTTCTGCTGGGTTTTGAGTTCTTTTGATCTTGCTCCTCTAGCTCTTTCAATTTTGACGATAGGGTGTCAATTTTGGATCTCTCCATTCTCCTCATATGGGCACTTATTGCTATATACTTTCCTCTAGAGACTGCTTTAAATGTGTCCCAGAGGTTCTGGCATGTTGTGTCTTCGTTCTCATTGGTTTCGAAGAACTTCTTTATTTCTGACTTCATTTCATTGTTTACCGAGTCAACATTCAAGAGCCAGTTGTTCAGTTTCCATGAAGCTGTGCGGTTCTGGGTTGGTTTCCGTATTCTGAGTTCTAACTTGATTGCACTATGGTCTGAGAGGCTGTTTGTTATGATTTCAGTTGTTTTGCATTTGTTGAGCAGTGCTTTACTTCCAATTATGTGGTCAATTTTAGAGTAGGTGTGATGTGGTGCTGAGAAGAATGTATATTCTGTGGATTTGGGGTGGAGAGTTCTGTAAATGTCTATCAGGTTTGCTTGCTCCAGGTCTGAGTTCAAGCCCTGGATATCCTTGTTGATTTTCTGTCTGGTTGATCTGTCTAATATTGACAGTGGATTGTTAAAGTCTCCCACTATTATTGTGTGGGAGTCTAGGTCTCTTTGTAAGTCATTAAGAACTTGCCTTATGTATCTGGGTGCTCCTGCATTGGGTCCATATATGTTTAGGATCGTTAGCTCTTCTTGTTGTATCGATCCTTTTACCAGTATGTAATGGCCTTCTTTGTCTCTTTTGATCTTTGTTGCTTTAAAGTCTATTTTATCAGAGAAGAGAATTGCAACTCCTGCTTTTTTTTGCTCTCCATTTGCTTGGTAAATCTTCCTCCATCCCTTTATTTTGAGCCTTTGTGTATCCTTGCATGTGAGATGGGTTTCCTGGATACAGCACACTGATGGGTTTTGGATTTTTATCCAATTTGCCAGTCTGTGTCTTTTGATTGGTGCATTTAGTCCATTTACATTTAGGGTTAATATTGTTATGTGTGAATTTGATACTGCCATTTTGATGCTAAGTGGCTGTTTTGCCTGTTAGTTGTTGTAGATTCTTCATTATGTTGAAGCTCTTTAGCATTCAGTGTGATTTTGGAATGACTGGTACTGGTTGTTCCTTTCTATGTGTAATGCCTCTTTTAGGAGCTCTTGTAAAGCAGGCCTGGTGGTGACAAAATCTCTGAGTACTTGCTTGTTCGCAAAGGATTTTATTTTTCCCTCACTTATGAAGCTCAGTTTGGCTGGATATGAAATTCTGGGTTGAAAGTTCTTTTCTTTAAGAATGTTGAATATTGGCCCCCACTCTCTTCTGGCTTGTAGTGTTTCTGCCGAGAGATCTGCTGTGAGCCTGATGGGCTTCCCTTTGTGGGTGACCCAACCTTTCTCTCTGGCTGCCCTTAGTATTCTCTCCTTTATTTCAACCCTGTTGAATCTGACGATTATGTGCCTTGGGGTTGCTCTTCTTGCGGAATATCTTTGTGGTGTTCTCTGTATATCCTGCAATTGAGTGTTGGCTTGTCTTGCTAGGTGAAGGAAATTTTCCTGGATGATGTCCTGAAGAGTATTTTACAGCTTGGATTCATTCTCTTTGTCCCCTTCTGGTACACCTATCAAACGTAGGTTAGGTCTTTTCACATAGTCCCACATCTCTTGGAGACTTTGTTCATTCCTTTTTGCGCTTTTTTTCTCTGATCTTGGTTTCTCGTTTTATTTCATTGAGTTGGTCTTCGACTTCAGATATTCTTTCTTCTGCTTGGTCAATTCAGCTATTGAAACTTGTGGTTGCTTCGCGAAGTTCTCGTATTGTGTTTTTCAGCTCCTTTAATTCATTCATATTCCTCTCTAAGTTATCCATTCTTGTTATCATTTCCTCGAATCTTTTTTTAAGTTCCTTAGTTTTTTTGCATTGATTTAATACATGTTCTTTTAGCTCACAAAAGTTTCTCATTATCCACCTTCTGAAGTCTAATTCCATTATTTCGTCACAGTCATTCTCTGTCCAGCTTTGCTCCCTTGCTGGTGAGGAGTTTTGGTCCTTTCTAGGAGGCGAGGTGTTCTGGTTTCGGGTGTTTTCCTCCTTTTTTCGCTGGTTTCTTCCCATCTTTGTGGGTTTATCCGCTTGTCGTCTGCGTAGTTGCTGACTTTTCGATTGGGTCTCTGAGTGGACACCCAGATTGTTGATGATGAAGTATTTCTGTTACTTGGTTTTCCTTCTACCAGCCTAGCCCCTTTGCTGTATGACAGCTGAGGTCCACTCCAGGCCCTGCTTGTCTGGGGTGCACCTCTAGCAGCTGTGGCACAGTGAGGGATGCTACCCGTTTCTTTTTCTGCTATCTTTGTCCCAGGATGATGCCTGCCTAATGTCAGTCTTTTGGATATAGAGGGGTCAGGGAGCTGCTTGAGGAGACAGTCTGTACTTTTTTGGAGCTCAATTGCTGAGCTGTGAGCTCTGTTGTTCATTCAGGGCTGTTAGGCTGCTATGTTTGATTCTGCTGCAACAAAGCTCATTAAAAAAACCCTTTTTTTCTCAAATGCTCTGTGTTGGGGGGTTCGGGCTTTATTTTTCGATGTCCGATGAGGTGTCCTGCCCAGCTAGAAGGCAGACTAGCCACTGTTTGGCTGCTGAGGCTCCGCCCTGCTGTTGTGTGATTTGCCCTGTTCCTGCAGGCTCTGCTGTGGTCTCCGCCATGCCCTGCGGCGGAGTCTCTTCATTGTAGTGTGTTGCCTCAGCAACGGCAGGCTGCGTCAGCAGCGGGCGTGTATCTCAGTTGGGGCGGGTTGCCTCGGTAGTGGTGGACGCCCCTCCCCCACAGAGCGTCTCGGACCGTCTGCTCGGGATAGTTTGAAATCACAGTTTTGTTCGTCCCACTGGGTGTCCCAAACGATCTGTCCCTGCAATCCCCTGGGCTGGCCTACTGTCCAAGTCTCGTTCAGTCTCAAGTCCAGCCCTCTCAAGTCTCAGGTTGCCGGTTCAACAGGGCACCCGGACAAGTGCGCCCTGTGGGGATTGCTGGGTAGGGCCGGCCGCCGCCGCCCCGGCTGCCGGCTTCGCCAGGCAGACCTACTGCCTGGCGTCCTGTGTCTTTTTTATACTTGGGAGTTTCCCCGTTCTGTGGGCAACAAAGATCAGTCTGGAAATGCAGCTCCAACTCACCTGTTTGCGGATTCAACGAGAGCTCCAATCCTGGGTTGTTCTCACAGCGCCATCCTGAGTCCTCCTCCTAATTTTTGTATTTTTAATAGAGATGGGGTTTCACCATATTGGCCAGGCTGGCCTTGAAATCCTTACCTTAAGTGAATCGCCTGGCTCGGCCTCCCAAAGTGCTGGGATTACAGGCATGAGCCATCATGTCCAGCTGGGAAGAAGTATTGGTAGTGGAACCACAAAGGCATGTAGGAACAGTGGAATTGATTCATCAAAGTGGGGTGGGGTATCATGTCACTAATGTTGTTGAGAATTCCTGTACATGGTGATAAAAATAAAATGCAACCTAAGTTAGTTTTATTATTGTTTTTCTATGCTCTACAGAAAATGTACCCCATTTTGCCTGAATCAAGGGCAGACCACTCCACAGCATTCCTTCCGAAATACCTCTAAATATTTCACTCACAAATGGTGTAGGGAGTGAGGCAGAGATGTCCAGATTTATATGCCTTGTGTGTGGAAGGAATATATCTCTTATACATTGGCATGACTTATTATACCTAATTAAAACTATCAGCATCCATACTGCCTTAAAATCTTTTTGCTATTTTGACATTATACCAATTATCATTTAGGTTACAAGTTATAAAGCTATCATATCAAATATCTTAAGGTGAATTCATATCATCAAATTGTATGCCTTGTAAAATTTAGCTAAAACCAGCTCACTACCAGAGAAACAGTATTGAAGGAGAAGGAAAGAGTAATCTTGGAGTATGGGCCCTCAAAACACATCATGGTAGTCTATTTCCAAACTAGGTTCATCAGGATCTTGCCCAGGATTTTTCTACTATACCTATTAAAGAAGACTTTCTTTCCCCTGGGGTGATAAGTTGGTAGAATAGGAATCTTGAGCCACTAAGTGGACATTTGCCTACTAGAAAGACAGCCCTTGATTGAAAGAAAAGAATTCTTTGATGACATCTCATTAGTTGAGCCCTGGCTTGTCCAGTTACATGAAACAAATCCTCTCATTTGTGTTTATTAAGCAAGTTTGAATTGGATTTCTGTCTTCCCAGTGAAAAGCATTTTGACAAATATAAGGCTTTAAATATAGTGCTTGTGTCCAAGATTAAAATATTCTATAGTTATACTATATCCTTTTATATAATTGATTAAAGCAAATATAAGCAGATAAATTTCTGTGAGTGATTTACAGCACATGCCAACAAACGGCAGCTGCCACAATATATAATTTACTTCCCTCATTCATTTGTTATTCTCCAAAGTCAGTTTCAAAAATGATTTATTTTCATCCTAGACATTCCATTAATTATTGACTATAGATACACACTAATTCCAATTCATATTTAAAAGCAGCTGGCTCAAATCTTGGCAAAAGAATTAGCAATGATTTCACATATCAGGATCTGAATATATATAAAAATAGTCTGCTCTTATTCCTATTTTATTCATTTTTTAAAAAATTAGATTCATAAAATTCTAACTTCTAGTTCAAGTCATGCTGCAATTAAATTAAGAAGCATGGCAGACTTTGGGTTAGAACTAAATCAAATTGGCAGAAATGTTGCAACCTTAATGGCCATGTTTTACATAGTGTTAGAAGTTACAGCCATATAAATTATATCATTTAATCTTAGAATTCTTGGAAATTAACTAGTAAATTTATAACAACTTTAATCTAGAGAGAGCCCAGTGTAGATAAATTAAGTAATATTGAGGTAGCTATCATGAAAATATTAGTAGAAAACCAGCTGGAGAAGAAGGATGGGATCAACCTTCTGGGTTTTCCATGGGACTTTTTTGTTTGGTTTCTTAATTTGTTGGGGAGTTTTTCGTTTGTGTGTTTGCTTAGTTTTTGTTTTCTAAGACAGATGTACTCTGATCTTTATTGCTATGGCTTGGTATCCACTGACTGGAACAGCACCAGGCTGCTCAGTGCTCAATAAACATTTATTCAATGAGTGTTTTATAATAGATGTAAATCTGGTGCGACATGAGTTTTTCTGTTTTTGCTATATGTGATAAAACACAGCCATTGTGGGCTGAGTCAGAAGGAATTTCAGGTTTCTCTTTTTCAAGCTTCCTCATCCTAATACTAAAGGAACTGAGACAAGAAAATGTAAAGTGACTGCCCAAAACAGAGAAAGGAGTAGTAAATCCATCAACAAACATTTATCAAGTAGTGCACGCTGTTTCAGCAGAGCATAAGGCAGTTCAAGTTTCTGCTTTCAAGGAGCTTATGTTCCAGTGGGAAAGGTGATAAACATGTAAATGAGTAAGATAATTTCAGGCCCTGATAAAATGATGCTACAAAAATTCTAATACAGAATATTGGGATGGAAAATGACGGATGGTGGAGAGAAACATAACTGACAGGTTACTCACAACTGGATGCTGTAAAGACTCTCATGGGGGCTGAGGCCTGAATGACGAGGAGACAGCCATGCAAGGTATGGGGGAAGGGTATTGGAAATGCAAGTACGAAGGGTCTGAGAAGGAAAGAAGCTTGATGTGTTTGATGAAAATAAAAACAGCCATAGTGTTTCAACTAGAATGAGGAGGAGAAGAAAATGAACAGAGACATGGTTGGGCCAACACCAACCCTGCAAAGTACTGTATATCAGGAAAAGTAATTGTGGGTTTTACAGGGTGTGATGAGACACTGTTAGAAAGGTTTTGAGGAAAGGAGTCATATTATCTAATTTTCATTTTGGAAAAATCACTCAGGCTACTGTGTGGAGAAGGGACTGGGATAAGACAAGACATGACGCTGTGAAACTAATTAGAAGACTGCCCCAGTAATCAAGGCTGGACAGTGGTTACTTGAACTGGAATTGGCAGTAGTGAGGGTGAGCAGTAGCTGGACTCAAGACATCTGTAAGTACCTGTAGGACTTACTGCTAGATGCATTTGAGCAAATGAAGATGCAATTTACAGTGATGGAGAAGACTCTGGAAGAATGAATTGGGAAGATGGGGAAATGATTAGCTCTGCTTTGGACATGTCCACTCTGAAATCTTTTTTAATCAGCTTTCTCAGGTTTAATAAGTCTGAAATTTTTATTAAACATTCAAGTGGAAATTCTAAAACACAGCTGGATAGATAAGTCTAGACTTCAGAACAGACGTCAGGGGAGGTGACATGAATTTGAACAACACCAATAAATAGATGATATTTAAAACTATGGCTCTAGGGAAACACTGTGGTTAGAGAAGAAAGGAGGACTGAGACAGTCTGGAGCACTGTGAGAGATCTTCTGGAGGAGGACCCAGAAAAAAAAAATGCTGAGAAAAAGCACAGAAGAGTCTGGCTTCCTAGATGTCTCATGAGCAACCTTGACAAAGACTGTTATTAATATGGAAATGGGAGAATGAGGGAAGGAGAGCCTAACTGACATGTAGTGAGGTAAGAATGGGAAGTGAGGGCACAGTAGCAGCAAGTTAAACATGGCTTCAGATGTTTCCAAGGAGTGAGGAAGAAAAATGGAGTCATGTTTGGAAGGGAATGGGGAATCAAGGGAGAGATGTTGGACTGCAAATAAAATGATCCAACAATAAGGAAGGAGAACAGGGAGATAACTGAAGAAACAAAGTCTCAGAGAGGGCAACAGAGGATGACGTACAAAACAATGTGGAGAGATTTGCCTTTGGCCTTGGAGGCAGCAAGGATGCTTCTTCCACTATGACTTGAGGGAAGGTTAGGTGCTTGGGCTCAGGCCCAGGTGGCTGCAGGATTTGGTGAGTTCTTGACTAATTCCATCAGAGTTGAACCAGATTTTTCCAAATCCTACTTCAGATTGCAACCACATAGTCACCCTTAGAACTATAAAGTTGTATTTGTTGTTTAGGACACAATAGCTGAAAGTTTTGAAAGATGTAAGTCCTATCTCTACTGATCAACAGTGTGAAATTATGCCACAAATGTAATCATCTAAGTTTAGTGGTGCAAAAGTGTCATTACTTAATGAAAGGAAATTAGTTGTGAATACAATCTAAGAGAGACATTGTCCTAAGTTTTTAGTTATTCAAAGGAATAAAGTCAACACACTAAGAAAGTGGAAAAACCTAGGTCCTTGAAATCATCATTGAACCACTGAGTTAAGAAACTCTGGAACGGCCTTTTCCCAGATTTCTGGTTATGTGAGTTAATAAATGTACTGATTGCTTGAGCCATTTTTTGTTGATTATTGCCACTTACAGCTGAAATCATTTTAACAGGCATAGTATTTTAGTGAATAATTGGTAGCCATCTGGAAAAAAATAAAGCTCAAACCTTACACCAAAATAAATTCCAAACAGATCAAAATATAATCAAAGCTAAAGGTTAACTATCACCATCCCTAATTTTGTACAAAAGCAGCAGAACTTTAAAGTAAAAGCTGTTCTTTTATGTTTTAATTCGATTATTATAAATGACAGGTAAAGCATTTAAACTGGGCTGTCCATTGTAACAAATGGAACATAATGGTGAATAATACAAATGCCAGCCACAACTGACAAGTATTTTGTCATTAAGACACTTTTCATCCTTTATTGCTTTCTTTTCCCATTTTAATATGTTGTATTTTTCTTGAACTATAAAATATTATTTTCAGGATGCCTGCAGATAACGTCATGTCCTTCGCAAACCCTGAGAACAAAGATGATAGACAGTAACAGTAGTGTTGTATCACCAGCTCCCACCACCATGCCTGGAACATGAAGTGAAACTTCACTGAATGGATACACGAATGAATGCATGCACACATTGATGTCAGAAAATGGAGGGAAGGCGATACTTTTTCTGTTTCTGCTGACTGGCAAGGTCAGAAGAAAGAGAATAAGTTGCTGAAGTCTCATGGAAATCTCACAAAGAAAGAAGGTTCATCTTCTTATCCAGTTGATGAGCTCTAAGGAGCTATTGCTCAAAGGTTCTTCCTGGTTGCAGTTCTGAGAACTATTGTAGGAGGACTGAAGAAAACATTTACTGTCTACTGCATACTGGGCACTATACTAGACACTTTAATACATTATTTTATCCTCTGTTTCTATTTTATAAATAAGGTAGGAGTTAAAAAGAACCTTCATCCTATATAACCTGGTTCCTTTTGCTCCTATTACTAATCTCTTATGGATTCACTCCTGTTGTCTCTCCAGTCTCAGCACTTCTAAATGAAGTTGCCCTGCTCACACAAAACGTATACGCGTGTGTGTGTGTGTGCACATGCACGTATTAGGATACATATGCTATTAGTTCTGTTTCTCTAGGGATTGTCTTCTAATGGAGGTACACAATCTATTCAACTGTGGGGAT